GCAAAGTTTTGCTGTGTGTGTGGGGGGACCATGTTAGTTGCCAAATCCTCTTTTCTTTCATGATACGTACCAGCAAAACATAGACAAGAAAATAATGATTAATGGAAGAAATGAGGAAACCTGCCTTCTAGCCAAAGTAATGAAAAATCCACCATTCTGTATGTTTTTACTGGAGGCCTTCCCTCACACCCATGCAACTGTGTCGTGTCAGAGTAAATTAGAAGGCGGCCTTCCTATTGCAGGAAACCTGCCTCATTCTTCATGTACTTCAGCTTCCATGTGACCAAGCTTTTTTCTTTTCTTTCTAAGCTTTAGAGAGAATTCATACAATTATGCAAATTATTTTATGTCAAAAATTACCCAGAACATTTACCCATTCTTTCTAATCTTGTTTTTCAGCGATGCACATTTCTATCAATTCAGCATTGCTTAAACTCTAAAAAAGTCAGTGTGACAAAGAAGACTGGTGGAATCAAAATACCTAAAAATTAAAAATTATATTTCTGTTTATTAACTTCTATATATAAGCTCCTTGAGGGCAGAGATGCACCCTGATTTATTGTCTTTTCCTGAGCACCAGTAATACCTAATACCTAGCAGATATGAAATAAATATTTGAGTAAGTTTTAAAGAGATTTTTTTATAATGCAATGATAAGTAATTTCTTGATCATTGTAACATACTGTTTATGTTTCATTGCTTTCTCAGTACCTTACAACTTAAGCTATGGACAATAAGGCCATGGCCAAGAAGACTTACATTATAAGTGCTTAGGTGTTTGATTTTAAAAAATAGATTAAAATGTCTATGTGGTAGGCATAGTAATGCCTCTCCATTAAAGGTGTTCTTTGTCCTGATACCTAGAACCTATGAATACATTACCTTAGGTGGCAAAGGGCCATTAAAGTTGCAGTGGCATGAAGACTGAACTTAGTCCATCGCTTGTCAAAATGTCACTAAGAAGGACTGCAAAAATGAGCAATGTGGGAGGGCAGGGGAATGGGCAAAAAAATAAGAACCATGATATATCATGTAATGATACAAGATCCCAATGATAAATGTAACTGTATCATTTGCTTTAAATGTACTAATAAACTTAGTAGGGGAAAAAATGAGTAATGTGCTTCCAGCTCAGTACTCTCTAGTCCTACTATGTACAACTCAATATTCCCTGTACTGAAAGAGATAAAGGTAAATTTTTAAAAATTAGAAATCAGGATGGGTGAACGATACTGAGTATAGGAAGGGAATAATTTTTTTTCCTTATAATAAAATTACAATCAAAGACAAATGTTCCACAATTTCCCTCCAAAAAGAAAAAGAATATTTTTCTGTCACAGTCATTTTATGACTACTTCTCTTTTTCAAATAGATGTTTCAATTTATTCCTAGAAGGGTAAAAGTCTTAGTCAGCTGGTTACCATTTTGGTCTGCTCACGAGGGGGCGGTATATCATACAGGAGTGGAACTGGCACTGTGCTTCCATTAAAGGCATCAGTACTCTGTTTTGGAGTTTTGTCTTTTTTGTGGACCCTGGGAACGTGCTCCTCTAAGCTGAAGGGTACACAGTTAATTACTTATTTAAAATGCTTGAGGAAGTTTTTATGGTTCACTCTGAAACAGGTCAGCCTCAAGGTTCTAAAATGTATGTATAGGGACATTATCTTCGAATCGTTCAACAACCTGGTTTTGAACAGTTACTGATGCTTGGTATGGAGCTGTCCAGAAGTGATGCAGTAATCGGGAGAACTCAGCAAAGGGAAAGGGAGGAAGGGTGCCATGGCGGGCTGTGATGCCTGGGTCAGACTCCAGTCGTGGAGTTAAAAAAATATCCAGAGGAAACCTTAAATTAGTGCTTGTAAATTATTTGTTGCACAGTTGTCTCCAGTTTGGTTCTAGCAGGGTTGTCTGTACATTCCCAGAAACACAACATATGCACAAAGTGTTCATTATTAATAATAAAGTCCAAAGTATAATATGAATATTTGGACGTTAACAGTCCCCAAAAGTATAAGGTTAAAAGTCAGTGACTGAAAAGTAAGGCCCTCTGCACCAAGAATCTTCCATTTGCTACTCTAGTAATAATGTGCTTTTCTCCCCCGTTTTTGCCAGCTTGGCTCAGCTAATCACTAATCATTCTCTCCTGATGTTCCCTAAAAGCAGTTCATTAATTTGACATTTCTGGATAGAGTGCATGATTTTGATTCCATAAACTCTAAGCCCTAAAGCCACCCATCATGAGGACAAATGAGAAGGAGTTAGGCAGAGTCCATATCATTGGCACAGGGCTTAGTTGACTCTGCTGGGCCTCTGAGGCTGAGTTTTCAGGTTTTTGAAACATAGAGAAGAGAAGAGAGCCTTTGGAAATGGGACTCAGACCAACAGAATCTGAACACAGACAGCCAGAGCTGGGTTTGTGGAGGCTAAAATAGTAGGAAGCAAGAACAGGAGGCCAGGACACCCAGGCTGCAGGCCAGTCCTGGTTCCAGAGGACAACATTCAGGCCCTCAGGCTGGAGCAGGTCTGGTAAAACAAGAGTGGGCACAACTGTGGAAGACAAGGGCTATGGATGTCTGGTGGTGTTACTGGTGGTGTGGCTTCTGACCCTGGTACAAAGTTAACTGTCAATGCTCAATCAACATATTTCTCATGTGGTCCCTGAAAAGTGACTGACCTCAAAGTTAGATTTGCATTTGAGAGTTAAATCATGATTTGTCAGTAACATATTTTAATTAAATGAACAAAATAACTGAATTCAAGTGCAAATGTGAGACTATAGATACTTAAATCTCCAGGCACAGCAGGAAAATATCTGTCCCTCCTCATTTCGTTCAGAACTCTAAAAGCTGATTTTGAGAAACATTCTAGGATATTTACATAAGACATTGAATTTTTTACAACACTTTAGTTATGGAAGTATTTCTTTGAAATGATTTAAAAGTAATCAAGTTTCTAAACCAATCAGAAACACTACTTTAGCCCTGGAATAAGATTAAATATAATGATCACATGTTAATCAGTGATGCCCCACAGTCTACTATTGTCTACTTTTATAGATTTAAACTTTTCTCATCGGTCTCCTTTCAGTGTGTTAATCTACATTCCTAATTCCTGAAAAAAAAATCAGCACAGTCTTAGACCACATTGCCATCCAATTCAAATTGTTCTTCAGATGATTTGATTAAAACTACAAAGAGCAACTTTCAACAAAAGCTTCTTATAGTGAGCACAAACGTTAGTGAGCCTGGCGTGCAGCACTTAACCTGCCCTCGCAGCTTTAGAGAGAAATACGTTCAGAAGGGGAATTAATCACCAGCGAAAGCCCACCCCTGGACTCCTTCGACAGTCTGTCAAGGAGGTTTAAATGCGTCAGGGCTTCTCCACAGTCCACCCTTAGTTATACATCCCAGCTCCTGAGGTCTCCAAGAAACATTTATTTAGTAATGATATAAGAAGGAAAACAGTGACATCCAGCTGATAGTAAAATCATCATAACAAGATGATCCAAGAAACAGAAGCTCGCCCATAAATTATAATCATTATTATCTTATCTAATGGTTTAAATTAAAATTAAGCATATTGTAGGGTGCAAAGTGGTTGAACTTTTTGATGCTTGAAGAATGATGCGGAATGCTTGGTTATTTGCAAGCACTCTGTTATATGTAGTCCTTTCGAATTTTGGATGAACTTTTATGCCTAAAACTTTAAATTATCAAATCCATGCAAACAACACTCTGCAAATAGTTAACATGCTTTGCAAATAACACATGCTTTCTGTGGGATACAAACATGAGAATGCCTTCATTCTCCAGAGTGATTTTGTAAAGAAAGTTGTAGGATTGCAGATTTTTGCTTCCTCATCTAACACTTAAGAGATAACTTCTTACAGCTCGTGCCAAAGGAGATACGGTGCTGTTGAAGTGAATCCGTAGGTGATGTGTTACGGGCAGTTGCAGTGTTCAGTTTCGGTGCCATGTTTTCACCACTGCAGATAACTTGTCAGGCTGCAGAGAAAATGTTCACTGGCTTACTAGAATATGAAATTTAAGTCTCTGATCGAGATACTTTTAGATGCTCTGATTTCATTATAGAAATTCCTAGACTACTCATGGGATAAAACAAATGCTAAGCCCATATTGAATTTCAATAAGCTGAATTAGCAGAAAATAAAGATAAAATGCCTTTCTATTTAAGAACATGATGATGTTTTAATTGTTACAGCATTTGGCATGCCTAATATATACAATCCTTGACATTCATATAATAACAAAAGAAAGTTGTTTGGGATTTTTCTTTTATTTCCTAGTGTCCGCTTTCTTCTCTAGTATTTCTCCCACATCTACCCCAGCCCTGCCCTTTCACTCTCTTTCCACTTTTCATCCTTCTCTGTACAGGGATGCATGTAAAAATACCTCATTCTATATAGACAGGCCAAGGCCGCCTGTTGCCTAGCTATGATGAACAGACCACCATCGTTGCGACAACTGATGTAGATGCCTCCGGGTGAAACAAAGGTTTACATATTACACAAGCAATTTAACTGTTTTCTAAACATATTGCCAAGACAGTGGGAGTTGGCAGCCCACACTGTGTTTTAGGTTTTGAGGACTTGGATTAGAAGTGGCTGTTGATTGTAACCTTTTTATTTGTCTTCCATGAACTACAAGCAACCTAGTAACCCAGGAAAGAATTCTTCACAGCACTTAAACTTGTCTTCCTAGCTTTCCAAGATTACATACACAAATCACTTGGCAAAAGTGGCGTGAGACTCTTGTGCATAGATAACCACACAAGACAATTGTCTTGTTCTAACCCTTAAAGAGTTCCACAAAGTAAAATGTTTTATAATCCTTTTTTGTGTAGTAGGCAAGAAAGAAAAGAAGAGAGGTTGGGCAAAGATTATCTAGAAGAAAGAAAGAGACTCTTCTGGGGTTCCAGTTGAAACACAATAAGGAACATAATTAACTTCACAATTCTTTGTGTTTTTCATTTGACTGCAGGGAGGAGATGAAAGAGGACTGCTAAGCCTTGCATTCCATCCCAATTACAAGAAAAATGGAAAGCTGTATGTGTCTTATACCACCAACCAAGAGCGGTGGGCCATTGGGCCTCATGACCACATTCTTAGGGTTGTGGAATACACAGTATCCAGGTATCACTAAAAGGCATCGAAGCATACAAATTCTGTAATCTTATTTTTCCTTCATCTCATCATAAGCTTTTGAATTAGAAATTACAAATAAGTAGCCAGACAGTGGCTGTAATTAAAATAAAATCCCTATTGTACATAAAACCCTGTATGCGTATCTTTGAAAGAAATTGAGGGAAATGATGGCTTTAGCACTTTCCTTCAATGATCTTTCAATTTAAACACTACTTTAAAATTTAGAAATTAATGCAGTTTTTTCAGTAACTTCTTTTAGCTGTTTTCCAGTGTGTTTCCTTTAGGGGCCAAATGCTTGCTTTTTTATTTGTACACTGTGTATTACTAGTAGTGGGTTCATCTTATGCCTTTAGCAATCATGATATTTTTTTCCCCTCTTCACAATGCAGGAAAAATCCCCATCAAGTTGATTTGAGAACAGCTAGAGTGTTTCTTGAAGTTGCAGAGCTGCACAGAAAGCATCTAGGGGGACAACTATTCTTCGGTCCTGACGGCTTTTTGTACATCATTCTCGGGGATGGAATGATCACACTGGACGATATGGAAGAAATGGATGGGTTAAGGTAGAAATCTTACAGCAGTGCCTCTGGGTGCTGAGATGTTTGCACTGCCAGAAGAAAGGTCTGAACCAGAGAGTTAAGAGCCATCTCTGAAGTATATCCCTCTGCAAACATATTTAACTTTCATTGTCAGTGTCTGCGTTTGTAAAATACAGAGGGATTCAGTATTTTGCCTGTGTAATGTTTCTTTTGTCATAAAATGAGTTACTGCCACGCAGTTCTTCAGGGGCTGCCCCTACTACACTTGGCATTGAGAAGTGGACAACCTGACACACATGTTGCTTCCTGACGTGCTGCTTAAGGGACTGATATCTTGGGAGATATAAATTATATGGATTGGTGGCCGGGTGTGGTGGCGCACGCCTGTAATCCCAGCACTGGGGAGGCTGAGGCAAGAGGATCACTGTGAGTTCGAGACCAGCCTGGGCTACATAGTGAGTTCCAGGTCAGTCTCAACTACATAGTGAGACCCTGTCTCAAAAAACCAAATAAATAAATAAGTAAATAAATAAATCAATAATGGATTGGCAAAATAAAAATTAAAGGAGACAGGTGCAAAAGAGGAGTGCGCTACTGATGCTGCAGCCCTTGGTCACCTTCCAGTGTCTTAGTGCAGTGCCTCGTATGGATCCAGAATGCCCTCGTTTCATTTCTGATCATATAGGATCTGGAATGTGAATAAATTTTGTCTTAGACAAGGGGATGATTCTTTTATCCATGTAGCAACCTTATCACATTTAGTCTAGGTGAACTACACAACCTCAACAGGAAACACTTACGCCCTCCTCCATTTTTCTCAGCGATTTCACAGGCTCGGTGCTACGACTGGACGTGGACACAGACATGTGCACTGTGCCTTACTCCATCCCACAAAGCAACCCACACTTCAACAGCACCAACCAGCCTCCAGAAGTGTTTGCCTATGGGATCCATGACCCAGGCAGGTGAGAACGCAAGGCTGTCCTCTTGCCTACCGAAAGAAAGCCTTGCTTTAGGCAGTAGGAAAAGGAAGATGGCAGCAAGTCATAGAGCAGCCAGGGGTGGTATCCAAGGTTAGGTCTCTAAAATCATACCAGGTCATTATTTGGGCAAGTATGTAAGCCTCTTTTTTTTTTTTCTATTAATGTTTGAAGCTGACTGAGAAAGCATAGACAAAGAAAAGAAAACGTTCATAAAGAAAAATTGAGTTCAAAATTTGAGAGGTTCTATTAAATTTTGTGGGACTAGTATAATGACTAAGACTCCAATAATTTGGGGAAATAATAAAGGTTTGGATTTGTTTAAACCCTTCTAAATTTTATTTTCCATGTTGTCTCAGTCCATCTTATGCTACTATAACAGAATACCACTGACTGGGTAATTTATACACAATAGAAATTTGTTTCAGGTTCTGGAGGCTGTTCAAAGGCAGGATGCCAGCAGCTTGTAAGGGCCCCTCTTGCTGTGAGTATTCCATGGTGGAGAAATTAGAGGTGGCAACATTAGCCTTTTATCAGAAACTCACTCCTAGGTGAACCACTCCTACAATGATAGCATTAATCCATTCCTAACGGCAGAGCTGTCACAACCCATTTACCTCCTAAAGTCCCATCCCTCAGTGCTGCTGGTTGCACTGGGGATTAAATTTCCAACACAGGAGCTTTGCAGGACACATTCAAACAATAGCAATGTAAGGATGTTGTAACGGGCAAATAAAAATCTACAGGTAAAGCACAAAATAGGTGCCTGATACCTGGCAGTTCTTTTTTCATAGCCTCACTTAAAATAGGATGATGTAGTGTTAATTTGCAGGGAGTTGAGCTAAATATCAGCATTTTTTACTTGAAAGAAAATTACATACACTAAAGGAATTTATATTAACTGCTTAGTACTGTATACTACAATGAACCATTAAATAAACGGAAAACTACAAAGTATGTAGAGTGAGAGATTTTAGGGATATTTAAAAATATTATGAAGTGTAATATAGAAATTCTATGATGAAAACCCCATCCAGTCTGTGTTCTGTTATTCATACTAAGGGGTATCTGGCCACATTCGTTCATTTACTAGCTAAGTTATTATTGCTATTTAATGTTTATTGAGTGTTCACTATGTGCAAGGTGAATATTTCTCAAACTTTTTATTTTTATAATCCCTCTTGCCCTTCATCTCCCCTCCATCAAAGCCCGAGTCTACAGTTCATTTCCTTTTTGGCATCTCAGCAGATCTTAAAATCTGTTCGACAGGGAATACTTAAGGTGGGCTCAGGATGTGGAGGAAACCGTCACATTCCATTCCTATAGCTCAAAACTCACAGATACCACCACAAAGCAGGACTTTGAAGTAGAGCAGCCTGAGTCACCACAAGCCCACAGGAGTGTTCTCACAAACTTTCTGGGGGTTCTGAGCCATGGTACAAAAATACGGCGGAGGGCTTTATAGACCATCCGTGTGGCAAGATGCCTGTGCCATGGAGTCCTACATCTTCTGGCAGCAGAAGGCCAAAGGGAAAGTCAGTGTTTATATTATTCCTCCCTCCAAGAGGGTACTAAGCAAAAAAGAGATTCAATAAAGCAGAAAAGAAACTAAAATAATTGAATAATAATTGAATAAATTGAATAATTGAATAAATGAATAATTGAATTAATTGAATAATTGAATAAAATGAAGCTGTTTGTAAGCTCCTTGCTGCAGGATACTGAACAGCTGTCCCTGTGGTCTCCTCTATAAGCTTTTCAGCAGTACTGTGAGGTAGATGACATTTGTTCCCTACCCACACCCTATACCCCCTTTGTAAATGCACTATTTTTAGAGCTGTTGTAGATTTGCTACTGTGGACTTGTAGGGAGGTATTGATACTTCCAGTGTACCCCTACCGCTACACAAGTAAACCCCCACATCATCATCCCTCGTAGAACTGGACACTCATTACAGCTGATGAACACACATTGCACATAATACCTAGACTCCACGGCTTATACTGTTGTCTACACTCATTCTATAGGTTTGGACGAAAGGGCAGTGATATGTATCCACTGTCATAATATCGTCCTGATTAGTTTCACCGCTCCCCATCCCACTTGTACATAACAACTGACATTAGAAGGATCAAATAGTCAGTAGACCTCATGTTCCCCTAGAGCTATGCTCATAGCCCCAGTAATTCCACCTCTGGGAGAGCTGGACTTCCATCTGGATTTGCTCTTTCTGGTTGGAAACAAATCAGGCCTCTTTTTGTCAGTTTCCCCATCTTCAAAAGAAAAGTGATGTAGAAAAATTTTCTTACCCTCTGTGAATTTAGTTCCACCTTAAGTCCCAACATGTCTTTGTCGTGATCCCTGCCAGGCATTGTATTCTGTGAGTCACTGTGTTAAAGAGGGCAATAAAGAGACTGTTGCCACCAAGCAGATCACCCATCTTTATTTGGAGACAACAGTTGTTGTGTTGTTTTGCTTTTTAATAATTGCTACATGGCTCTTATGTCACTTAAAATCTGGCACCCACTCTCAAGTTTTTTGTTAATTTTTAAATTTATTTAATAGCTCTATGACTTAGTTTCATTTTGATTAATGAATTTTGTTGGCTTAAAACAATGATTCTCAGAGGAATGATTTTGCCTCCAGGGAGCATTTGGCAGTGTCTGGAAACATTTTTATTTTTTACAACTGGAGATGGGGGTGGAGCGAGCTACAGTCATCTAGTTTTCGAGGCCGGGGATGTTTCTAAATATCCTATAATTTGTAAAACAGCTTCTCCAAATAAAGGTGAGCTGGCCCAAAATGTCAACAGCGTCAAGCTTTAACCTAAAAACAATGGAGGCCTATTTTCCACATTTTTGAGAACTTCAAAAATGATATTATTTGACTTTATTCTTCCCCCAGCCATACTCTCTCACTAACTTAAACATTCAATTGATGCCTGCCCTAGTGAAGCTTAGAGTCACAGGCTTAATCACAGATATTCTGGCTCCCAGATAAGGGGTGAAGAACATGAAGACAGCCATGTGAAAGACAGCACTCTCTGGGACCTGCTACGTTTTAATTTTATTGCCTGAATTGGAACATATGTTTCCCTTGGTTAGAGCATCCTGAGCTTTAGAATGTAGTGGTCCATGTAAGAAACATGGCCTAATACTATTACATTACAGACGTGAGTTGAAGGTGACCTTGATTCTTACTCATCAGACTTTACCAATTTTTGTGGTTTTTGTCTTGTTTGACTTTGAGACAAGTTTCTTGCTATGTAGCCGAGGCTGATCTTGAACTCATTCATGATCCTCTCACCTCAGCTTCCGCAGTGCTGGGATTGTAGGTGTGTGCCATCATGCCCAGCTTCATGTATTATGTGAAATATTCCTTCCTTAACAGCAGACTAACGAATGTTTGAGACTGTGTGGACATTCATAATAGAGGGAAATACCAAAAGAAACTTAGAAATATACTCCAGAAGTAATTAAGCTTCAATAAATAAACAAAATATCATGATTCTTTTAGTAGTTTCTAGAAAATCCAAACTGAATTGTTCATAGGATCCTCTGCTAGCCCTCAGAGGGTTTTGTCCTAGGTCAGGAATCCCCAGTTTGAAAGTCTGAAAGATACCCCAGTAGGAATTAATGGGGATTCACCTCTTTTGTTATGCAGATGTGCCGTGGATCGACACCCCACTGATATAAACATCAATTTAACAATACTTTGTTCAGATTCCAATGGAAAAAACAGATCAGCCAGAATCCTACAGATAATAAAAGGAAAAGATTATGGTAAGTCAAGAATAATTTGTTGATTTTGAGTTAGAGTTTGGTTTTAGCATAGTAATTGAAGGGAAAAGGATTTCTATAAAGTCAGCACTTGAGGAAAACAAAAACATTGTCCTATCAGTGGCCGGAGAGGAAGCTGCTCACTTTTTGAAGTTAGGAACTCTTATAGACCCTCAGAATCCTACTTGGTTAATTACATTTTCCATGGATGGCATGGTTCTCAGTGGGTCCACATAATTTCATTGCTTCAAAAGTCAGCAGCTTGTATGATTCCAATCTAAGTTTCAAGATGAATAATTTCTATTTACTTGATATAATAAGGAAGAACTGGTCTTAACACATTTCAAACAGAAAAAAATAAGTGTTAAAGGTGAGAAATTTCTCAATAACCTACATGCTAATCTCAACAATTAGGAAAACTATAGGTGCTTTATATAAGAATGTGATTTTTTTAAAGTGTTTATTTAGACAAAGTAATTGATTTGTGAAAACAGGTATGAGAATGGGATGTTTAAACATTAATTTTAATAACATAATTACTAGAATATTGAAAAAGAACACATAAAATATAAAACTGGGTAATGAAGTACAAGAACATTTACTATTTTTAATATTTTAGTATGTATTCCTTTTGAAGGAAGGAATATATTAAACATTATTAGGATTCAGAGAACACAGTAGATTAAGATTATTAAATTGATTGCTTCTTCTATTTGCTCATTCAATACAGATATTTATTTAGCACCAGGAATGAAGCAGCTGTGTTAGTTCATGTGGTATTTTTTAATTTTTCTTCAGAGTTGTGTACTGTGTGTGTGTGTCTTATAAAAGCCAAACCAAAGTATAATGTGGTTTACAAAAAAATCAAATGAGGCACTAGTTCTCTGGACTTTTGGCTGCATCTGTAGATTAAACTAAATTCTATAATCACATTAACTGAGGTTTGGCCAAAACAAGTTACAGTATTAACAGCCTTGTGTTTATGAATTTCCATGCATATAACACACATCTATAGTGCTTACAACATGCCTAACCCTACAAAAAACACTGTGTAAATGTTACTCATTTCATTCATAGAGCAAGTCTTTCACTGACCACATTGTATAGATGAAGAAACTGAGGTACAAAAAAGGTGAATTATAACACAATGCAAAAGGAAAAGATGGATTTGAGTAGCCTGACTCAATAGTGTATGACCTTAATGATTCAGTTATGCCGCCTCGTGGGGTGCTGGGTTTATTTAAAACTTCTCTAATCTTTTCTAATTTGTATTACATCATATTTACCATGAGAGAAGCAGAGGGCTTTAAAATTACTATCCACAAAAATTTTTGATGAAACTCTGCCTGTTGATGGTGAGTTATTTGGCATTAAATACTAAGAAGTAGTTTTCACATTAATTTGTAACTGACAGTAGAGCTTTTCCATTGAAATTACTGTGCGTATGCTCACATATGTAATAGCCTGCATGGAAACGCTGAGAAATGGAACTCTATACTTGTAATTCAGAAGGAATTATTGGACTAGACCTTGTTAACCACACAACTCCATAAACCAAACTATTAAACAATATCTTAAATGAAAATATTACCTAAGTGATCATTTTTAATACACAATAAATATAATTTTTTTTCACATAAGACATGTAATGTGCCAATGTCATAGAAGGCTAGAGGGTGGCACATTTCATGCATGAGGTGTGAACACCCATTCAACATGCTCATGAGTCAAAGGATCACAATAATATAATTTTAAACTCCTTTTAGGTACTATTCTTTTACTTTTCATTAAAGTGTGAATTTTAAACATTCTGAATAATTTGACAGATGTCTGGTTCAGTTTACTAAATATAATAAGTAAAATCATTTCTACAAAAAAATATTGAAAATTGTTTTTAAAAGGTTTAAGGTTTTTGTTTGTTTGGTTGTTTGTTTTTTGGTACCGGGGATCGAATTCGGGTCCTTGCATTTGCAAGGCAGACAGTGGAACCACTGAGCTAAATCCCCAGCCAGTTTAAAAGTAATTTGATCCTACAGTTAACATGATCTCCAATATATCTAGATTCTAATTTTATTGAAAATTTGGTGTATCATTACAATTATAATAATAGTAAGCATTTGCAGACCATTTCCATTTCATTTAGCTGTACACAGAAGTCTTTTAAATTTGATAGTATTTAAACAAAGACTAATTATTTTCACTAAACATCTTGGCCTACATTGTTTTTACTTTCATTTGATCTAGTGCTCTGTTTCTTTCCAGAAAGTGAGCCATCGCTTTTAGAATTCAAGCCATTCAGTAATGGTCCTTTGGTTGGTGGATTCGTTTACCGAGGCTGCCAATCTGAAAGGTTGTATGGAAGCTACGTGTTTGGAGATCGTAATGGGTATGTTTCCTGATGTCTTGTTTTAATATACCAAATGACATTTCCTTGGATAAGTTGGCAAACTGCCACAGAACACTGAAAACTGCCTGTCTCCTACTGGGTGTCAGACCTGGAATACACATATATATTATTTCCTTTTGTTACACTATATGTGCATATATATACACATATATATGTGTGTGTGTGTGTGTGTGTGTGTGTGTGTGTGTGTGTGTGTGTATAGGTTAATTGAAGAATTCCCAAAGGGATGCTTTTCAAAAGATTTGAACAAGTTCATAAAGTAATTTTTAAAAACAAAGAAGTCTTTAAATGGATATTTCATAATATGTAGTCTCTTCCCTTCATCCTCAACAAAAATTTACCACGACAATGAATAATTTCAAACCTATTATTTTTCATGAGTTGTAAAAATTTTTCAAAAACTACTTTAGGAGACTAAATTTTTTTATTTTACCAGATTTTCAGAACTTGAAGCAATAGAATGAAATTTCTATCTATAGATAGGAATACTACAAAATTAAATTTTGGCCTAAATTTTTGTATCATTCTCTAGATGAAGGGAAGGGCTTTTCTTATACTCAAGTACTCTAATGCCCCTTCTAAACAAAATATCTTTAAGTACTTTCTCTGCATATAAAAATTCCAAGGCACTCATAAATATGATGGGCTATATTATTTTTTCCTTTCAGAAGTCAAGTCCGTGGCACAATAATTTTATCTTAAATATTTTACTGTGATTTTTAAGCAAAGGTGTATTTTTATTGTAGGTTAACAGTGTGTTTTTGTTGTAGGAATTTCTTAACTCTTCAGCAAAGTCCTGTGACCAAGCAATGGCAAGAAAAACCACTCTGTCTTGGCACCAGTGGTTCCTGTAGAGGCTACTTTTCAGGTCACATCTTGGGATTTGGAGAAGATGAATTAGGTACTGTATACATTGCTTCTGTTAAGTTCCATTCTGACTTGCTTGCTTAAGAAACTATATTCTATCCTAAAGAATAACAGCCTCATCTTGCATTTGTTGGAAATGCAATCCAACAAAGAAGACCTACCAGAGACATTAAAGATGGTCCAGCTACATATTCTTTTCCAGGAAGATTCCACTGAGGGTCTTTGTATCTTATTTTCATTGTAGAGATAATAAAAGTAATAAAGCAGAAAAATAGGAGCAAGAAAAATCTTTGAAAAACTTTGTAAATGTCTGCTGATGTTTCTTATATTTTTCAAAGCAATGTTTTAACCCTTTATCTGAAAACCTTCCCACTTATCCATGTATCTTGGAATAGAAAAACAGTTATCAAAATCTAAAATTTATTCTCTCCCCCCCATTGGAGCATGACATTTGTGCAAGATAATCTGAATTATAGATCTTCTTTCTAATAGAATAGAAATTTTCTTATTTCTGTGGGTAACGTATGCTTTGGCATGTTTATCAAAATGTACACAGCTTTTAAAGAACAAAAAGAAGTTGAATTTGAAATGTGATCAATAAGAAAATGAAGAATTTATTCTCTACTATTTTATATTACAGGGATTAGCGTAGATTTTATATCTCCCTTTAAGAACAATATTCAAACTATGGTTATTGTGTTCCTTTAGCCTCAGAAATGGATAAAGATGGCTTAGAAATAGAAGAGTATGCGCTTCCTTTCTAAATTAGAGTATTTTCTGTGAAAATCCACATTGATTTTTTTTACATTAAAGAATTCATCAGAAATAGTTTGATGCCATTTTTTTAGATTAATAACAGCCTCAGACAAGATTCCTGAAATGCATAAGACATATTTCAGAGCCACAGGAATACAGAGATAGAAAGAACTCTGTCTGATTTTGTTCCAGCCATGAAAACATTTTACGATTAGTTTTTTCTTTATATTTTGTCCCACTCAAAAGAATCAGAAATATAACCTGTAAAGTAATTTAAATTTCATGCACAAACTTTAAGAATTACTGAATTGTAGCAGGGTTAGAAGTGAATGTTTGGGTATTGGGACTGAATCATTTTTTGTTTTCCCAGACTTTACTACAAGCACTACTCATGCACGATCATAGTAGCATCCCTCCCATTGATAAAAATATCCCAGATGTCTGTGTGTTTGTGATACTCTATTGTTTTGCGAATAGAGCCAAAAAATAAAGCATGTACAGTCTCAACTCTCCAAATGCTACCACTTTGTGCATAACCTGTAATAAAAATAAACACACTTTAAATAATTACACTTTAATGTGAAACTCTGTAGAGCCATATTAAAAAATGAGTACATTTTTGCACCTTTTGAGGGAACAAAATCAGTCTGGTGTGTGTGTTGCTTTTTTAACCATAAAATCAAGATGCCTTTGTTGTGAGCATTAAATGAAGTAAATTTATAAACTATTTGCAAAGCAAAGATTCTTTTGCTTTTTAACTTCATTCTTATTTTTTTCTATTGAGTCTGTATTTTTAGTGTGAACCTTGTAACATTGTTTTCAGAAGTACAAAAGTATTTTGGTATGCTTGATGCACAATTCAAAATAGAATAGAGAAATACAGATTAAGTCAAACACTATTTCATAAGTGACAATCAGTTATGAATTTTAAAACCTTAAAATATATTATCATAAATAGTTTTTAATTTCCTATTTATGTAATTCATTCTGTACTTTGACTTATATGGGAGAAGTGGTAATAAACAAGCGTGTTCTTTCCTAAACGAAAATTGTTTGGTACCAGGAGTTACAGACTTACAGTTGAGATTATCTCTCTCTCTCTCTCTCTCTCTCTCTCTCTCTCTCTCTCTCTCATTCTCTCTCTCTCTCTCTCTCTCTCCCTATCTCTCTCCCTCCCACACTCCCTCTCATATTTATTTTGAAACATCTTAATATATTTTTAAAAGCTAAACATTAAAATGAACATGCCAATTCCATCTCACCTCAAATTATTAATTAGTAGTAACAACTTGGGATAACCAAGACTTTAGTCTTGGACAGAAATAAATGAAGACAAAAACATATTCATTCAACACCTTATTTGCAGAATACAAATGCTTGCTGATTACCTTGCTCTCTAATAAGCTCTGTTCTAGGTGTTGGGGATACAGGGGCAGATCAAGAGACAATAAAATATAAACTGCTATCATAAATATATATTGTAAAGGAGTACACTAATAAGTGTTTTGTAAAAATATAGATTATCAGTTGGTGACCAATGCTTTGAAGAAAATCTAATAGTGAAGAGGGATTTTGAGAAGTTGGAGAAGGTGCAGTTTTATTTTATTTTTTTTATTTTTTATTTTTTGTTCTGCTGGTGATTGAACAAACCCAGGACCTCATAAAGGCTAGGCAGCAGTTCTACCACTGAGCTATATCCTCAGTCTAGCAGGTGACATTTTTAACGGTACAGTCGGGAAAGGTAAGGTTTAAGCTTAGTCTTGAAGGAAGGGAGAAAGTAAACCTTGTAGAAACCTATAAGAATATAGGAGCCTGAGACAGACAGAATCCAGGGACATAATTGGCCTCACGTATTCGAAGACAAGGAGCCAGTGAGGCCGGAATAGGGCAAACAAGGGAGCACACTGTTGTAGATGAGGTCAGAGGAGCAGTAGGTGACTAAGTAGGTCCCTGTTGGGACTTCATTTTGCTGTGAGAGAGATGAGAAGACCTTGGAGGGTGTTGGAACAAAGGAAGCTGACCTAACTTACATGATCTAACTCCTTCAAAAAGGGTGGCTGGAGTGTGAACGTTGAGAAGAAACACAGACTGGGGTAGACATAGGGTGCTGAGTTAGAAGTCTTTTGCCATAATCCAGGTGAGATATTCCTCCAGGGGGCTATGGAAAGAAGGTGCATGTATGGTGGGGACAGATCTGTGAGGCACTGCCACAGACTCTAGGCGAGTGATCTTCCTGAAGGGCAATGGAGACAGAAATGGCTAGAGAGCGAGATAAATAATAATTGCTTAGCAACGGTGTCATGCTGTGAATTGGCTTACTGTTATTTTTATCAACAGGTGAAGTTTACATTTTATCAAGCAGTAAAAGTATGGCTCAGACTCACAACGGAAAACTCTACAAAATTGTGGATCCAAAAAGGTGAGATTTCTTTTTATCCTTTTGAATCTGGTAACCTTCTTCACGTTATTTTAGCTTATTCAGATTAGTAATAGAAGCAATGCATTTGGCCATTGGCTAAGATGAACACTTCCGCCCTCCCTGTACGCTCGGCGCTGTCCTGAGAGGACCTTCCCCTGCAGTGCATGAGGGCCACGCTTGGCCTCTCTGGACTTTAAAAACTCATTCAAGTTGTTCCTGTCATCCCAGAGCACGTTGTATTTGTGGAATCAAAGTTCTCGGGTAAAAGCCAGGGGAGGAACCCGATGTGTGAGGCAGTGGCTTCAACTCTGGTGTTGGAAGCAATAAACCCCTTATTTTTGAGAAAACGAGAAACATGCTGGCAGACATTACAGCTGCTTAGTATGATTTTTGTTAGGTAATGAGGATGTTATTTTGGCAGTTCAACATCTGAGCCTCATTTCAAAACTATCCAAAAACTCACAGCTCTCATGAAGACTGTTATGACCAACCAAATGAAAACAGAAGAAAGATTGGTTATTTGCCTCAGCACAAGGAAGATGTGAATGTTTTAATCCTTTAAGAAATATAATTATGCTGCCCTAGCTCCTTCCCATCCTCAGTGTAAGCGCACACACACAACTTTCCAATCACTGTGAACCCTAAATAAGCAGCTGTTGATTTAATGGATGAGGTGGATGCTGTTAGGAGCTGATACAGTTACATGCTATCAAATACACATTTGTCACAAGAAACAACTATGAAAACATTAAGTACCCTCACAGATATGACTGGGCCCTGGCAAACACTGATAATGGTGACTCTTCTCTTCAACAGTACCATGCTGCAATTTCAAATTCCTTCTACATTCACTTATTTAAATTTTAAGTCTAATTCTTTATTTTTAAAAAAATTAATTTTATCAGTACAACTAATGTATACCATAGAATGACATTCATTGTTGGAAATTTGGATCTTTACATAATCCATCTTGGTTCTTATTTTTTTCCCCAGTCCCCTGCCCTCCCTTCAACCCCTCCCTCCACTCCCATCTACAAAGACTTCGTTTGTGTTATTTTTTTATTTTCTCATATTAATTCCATTCCCTTCTTCCCTTTCCACTACCTCTCCCATTTCCCCTTCCCTTTGTCCCTTTTCTCCCCATTTCACATTATCTATTTTGCCTATTACAAGAGAATAAATTAATGATCGAAAAGTTAACCAAATGGTCCACTTTAAAACTGTTAAACTGTCAATTGCACATGCTTTCCTGAAAAAGGCACCTATGGAGGGAGAATTCTTGTCCCTTTCAAATACCACAAAACACTTTCTTTCCTGAAGGAAATATAGGTTGACACTGGTTACCGCAGAACAAAAGGAAATATCAACTTTAAATGGCCTGTTGGGCCACATCACAGGTCGAATGCTGATAGCCTCCCTTCCCTGCTGTACAGTACACATTTTCTCCAAAACTAAGTACCCATCTGTACAGTGTCATATAGGAGAGGGATTCTTTTTCCCTTCTCAAGTGTAGAACTGGTGTTCTTTTTGAGAAAAGCAATGAATGAAAAAGCTACCAGACACTTAGGTGATTGTTGAAATTGGCAACTTTAAGAATAAAAGTCAAACTAATGTTAATTCATAAAATAGGAGCCTTCTGAAGATTCATAATGAGGAATAGGGATCTCACTCAGATCTAATGAGATTAGTTTCAAAATAGTCATTGTTGTCCCATTACATTGTCAAAGTTGATATGCTTTTTCTAAGCTTCTTGGTAGTATCATAATAAATTCTCTCTCCCTCTTGCAAAAAAATCTTTATCTCATCACCTGGACTGTTGCCGGCTCTTGGTGAGTAGAGGCAAATTTTACACCTTCAATCCATTAAGAGTGTCTAATTACCAAGGTTTCCATAAGGGACCTTGGCTTTGTGATCTTAGGGCCCCCTCAAGTAGGGTGGTCTCAGAGTGACATAGCTGAAGGCCTGGCTTCTCATTACAGAGCCTGTTTCTGGTGAGTCATGTCATGTGTGGGGCCAGGGTTCAGATTTGTGTTTGCTTTTCAAGAGGTGGGGGATGTGACAGGATCCCAGTGACACCGACCTTGTACACAGGCATAGGCATAACTTTCAAAATTAAACTGTTTTCATAAACACTTGTTGGGTGCCTCATGCTGTTGCGATTTAGACACTGGCGTTTATTATTATAGTATTTTTTTCTTAGATGAGTTGAAGTTCTGTATAAGCAAACATTTAAGCATGTGAGCAAGATTATGTTAGAAACATGAGCTAATTACTAGCATAGCAGTATTCAGGATATCTGCATCAGAGCAAACTGTTTTTCTAAAACTTCTGAGACAAAATTTAAAGAAAGAACCTCATAGACTCTATCTCTCAAATGTGTATATGTATAATATAATATATATACACACACAAGATATATAT